GAAGACAAGTAGTGATTCTACAGCATCTTACTACGCTGATGGACAGTGACTGTAATGGGGTGTGTTGGGGGTACTTGATGAAGGGGGGAGTCTAGTAAACATAATGTTCCTCATGTAATTGTAGATTAATGATAACAAAAAGAAAGTTAATAAACTTACAAATAAATAAATAGCTGCAAAATATGCATATACATGTATGTGTATGTGTGTGCATTAACATTGTTTTTCTAATTCTCAGTGGTACGCTTCCTATAATTCAAGAGTGCCAATTTACTGATATATTCCCCCCCACACTGGGAAATAGCTATTTTCAGTCATGATAAAGTAATGCGAGGTTCAATGCAAAAGTTCTACAATAAACCTGCCAACTTGTAGTTTCCATATGGGTAGAGTTCGAAATAAAAGCCAGATGAATTTGCTGCACTTTCCCGTGGAATTCATGTTTGGTCACAACACAGTTTCGTCGTCCCAAAATGTACCTTCACTTTAGTACTGCTCAGTTCCTCAAATTTGAGGTATAGAAGTTGCAGAAACATCATTTGAGTGCAGGTACGCGGAAAGAAATGTTTGTAATTGCTGTGAACTTAAAGAAATATATTACCTGCAATCCACTAAATGATGGAACAAAATAAACTCCTTCAGAATCTTCTAAACTTTTGGCCATTTTTTCAGTCTCGGCAGCATCTGTGCAAAGATCTGCAAAAACAAAACCAACAACCAACAATACAAAAGAACCCTAAAACAAAATGAAGGGGTGGGGAAGGAAGAAACAGAATTATGTTATAGGACTACATATATAACTACACAGAGAGGCATTTATCAGCATCTACATTTATCATCAATATAATGCTAAAGACTGCACCCTTCACAGGGTCAACACAAAGGCACGTCTGCTCTAGTGCCTGCCTAGGTTCTCACCTTGCATGCATTTTTGAACCTGTGGGGGCCGCGACGGACACAGAGGGCTCTCAGGCTCTGTACACAGCCGGCCTTACTTTTGCCTTTAAAGATATTTGGACTGTTTAATAATCAACTCTGTGTGCTTTTTGGCATTAAAAAAATTATTCTCTTGAAGATAAACCCATCCTAGTTTTCTGATGAAAATATCATCTATTAATAATAACCAAGAGAATCATCTGAAGAATGACTCCATCTAATGAGTTCAGTAAGGGGCCTGTAACAAAGAGATACAGTACACTAAAGTTGATCTTAAAAAAGAAAAATCAAGACCTAATTCAGTTAACATACTTTTTAATGAAGTATAGAGTATACATACAGAAAATTGCACAAATCCCAAGTGTACATTGGGATGAACTTTCACAGTATGAATACACTCAGGAAACCAACATCCAGCCCAAGATACAAACTTTTGTTCAGCAACATGCTTGTGAGATTCCTTATTGTACCTCATCGGTTCTCACCCCTGTATAGTACTCCACAGTTTATTAAACTATCTGACAGCTGATATGCATTTGGCTAGTTTCCAGTTTTTGGCTAATATAATAAATAGGCCACTTTGAACACTCGTGGACATTTGTTCTGGCGAACATTTCTGTTTGCCAAGAGGTGGGACTGCTAGTCTGAGGGTCTTCACACTTGGGACTAGCTTTAGAAGATACTGCCAAATGGTTTTCCAGAGTGATTGTGCCAAGTTAAGGCTCCTGCTAGCAGTATGAGAACTCTAGTTATCCCATCCATATTCTTACTAATAACTGATACTATGTTTTCCATTTAACTATGTTGGTAGTATTGTATGATGGTTTCATTTTGTATTTCTTGGTTGACCAATGAAGTTGGAATCCTTTTTCACTGGCCATTTGGATATCCTTGTTTGCGAAGCAACTCCTGAATGAGAATGCAGGGCAGGTGGCATCAATCAAATGAAAAAACCCAGGAGTCAGTCATAATACATATTTTCTGGCTTTATACAGCCTTAATTAAGTTGGTTTTATTTTATTGTATGCCTTGTTATTTTTCTAATGAAAAACTGACTGATGACAAGAAATTTAAGGTACACTTATGTTAAAATGAAGGTTAATGAAGACCATGTAAAAATAACTACAAATCTTACTCAAAATGACAGTTATTAGATCTGTAAGTCATATTCTTTTGGTCAAAATGTCCAGGTAATACATCAAAATATCTCTAACAGTTTAAGAACTAATATTAAGGAGAAAACATTGGTTCTGAAATCTATACTTAAAAAATAAATCATATCCCAATGTCAAAATTTTTAAATCAAAAATGGAAAACATACTGGATGGTTGGTTTGAGGAAAGTTTTGGTAACAAACAAAAGGGGAAAAAAGCCATCTCGCTTATTCTCATTCTTCACTAGTTGTTCCAGCCTTGCTTGAAGAATTTATTTAAATAATCCTCCACTTAAACTGTTCTCAAATGAACTTATTGATTAAAAATCTTATTAAAAATCATTTGTTCCTCAAAAAACTAAAAATAGAAATACCATCTGACCCAAAAATTCCACTCCTAGGAATTTACCTGAAGAAAACAAGATCACAGATTCAAAAAGACATATGCACCCCTATGTCTATCACAGTACTATTTATAATAGCCAAGATATGGACCAACCAGAGTGTCCATCAGTAGATGAATGGATAAAGAAGAAGTGGTACATACACACAATGGAATATTATTCAGCCATAAGAAGAAAACAAATCCTACCATTTGCAACAACATGGATGGAGCTAGTGGGTATTATGCTCAGTGACGTAAGTCAGCCAAAGAAAGACAAGTACCGAATGACTTGTCATTTGTGGATGATAAAAGCAAACCAAAAGTGAAGGAACAAAATAGCAGTAGACTCATAGACACGGAGAAAGGACTAATGGTTATCAAAGGGAAGGGGTTGGGGAGACTGGGTGGGGAGGGAGAAGGGGATTAAGAGGACTGCAATTTGCAATCACAATTTAGGTAGGTCAGTGGGATGGTAGTAAAGCATGGAGAATACAATTAATGACTTATAACATTTACGATGTTGATAGACAGTGACTGCAATGGAGGGGGTGAGGACTTGATAATATGGATGAACGTTGAACCACTGTGTTGTGTATGTGAAACCGTAAGATTGTATATCAATGACACTTTAATTTAAAAAAAAAATCATTTGGAAGAAGCTGACTTCACTCTGTCTCTCCCACTGGGTGCAACTAAGAATCCTGGATGGAGTGCATGGGAAAGCTCTCTGAGGACTCAGAAGAACTGGCTAGCAGGCTGACCAGGAAGCTCTAAAGCACCACTAACTGGCAGTGGGTTTGCTGTTTTTATTTTCTCTGATTTCTCCTGGCCTAGGCTCAGAGACAGTCTGAAACCCAAGACTTGGGTAGATACACTGGGTGCTTATATGAAGAGCTCGAAAAGAAGCCCCATCTCTCTGGTCTGAGGAGCAGAAGTCAGGCGTCTCTACAGTCCAGAAAGTGGGGAGACTTACCCGGTTTTTTTCTTTTTGAATTTTTTCATTCTATCTGAACAAGAAGGAGAAAAAACAGAGAGAAGGGCAGGGAGGGGAGAGAAAAAGAGAGGAAGAGAGAGAGAAAGAGAGGAGAGAAGAGCCTCAGGAATCTGTGGGAAAATAAGAAAAGCCCTCACAGGTCTGTGATTTGAATCCCAGAAAGAGAAGACAAAAATCTTAAATCAATTTTGGGTAAGAGCAGTTACAGAAATAAAGCAGAACAAAGAGAAGTTTGGCCTGCTACCAGGAAAAAATAGAAATACCATCTGACCCAAAAATTCCACTCCTAGGAATTTACCTGAAGAAAACAAGATCACAGATTCAAAAAGACATATGCACCCCTATGTCTATCACAGTACTATTTATAATAGCCAAGATATGGACCAACCAGAGTGTCCATCAGTAGATGAATGGATAAAGAAGAAGTGGTACATACACACAATGGAATATTATTCAGCCATAAGAAGAAAACAAATCCTACCATTTGCAACAACATGGATGGAGCTAGTGGGTATTATGCTCAGTGACGTAAGTCAGCCAAAGAAAGACAAGTACCGAATGACTTGTCATTTGTGGATGATAAAAGCAAACCAAAAGTGAAGGAACAAAATAGCAGTAGACTCATAGACACGGAGAAAGGACTAATGGTTATCAAAGGGAAGGGGTTGGGGAGACTGGGTGGGGAGGGAGAAGGGGATTAAGAGGACTGCAATTTGCAATCACAATTTAGGTAGGTCAGTGGGATGGTAGTAAAGCATGGAGAATACAATTAATGACTTATAACATTTACGATGTTGATAGACAGTGACTGCAATGGAGGGGGTGAGGACTTGATAATATGGATGAACGTTGAACCACTGTGTTGTGTATGTGAAACCGTAAGATTGTATATCAATGACACTTTAATTTAAAAAAAAAATCATTTGGAAGAAGCTGACTTCACTCTGTCTCTCCCACTGGGTGCAACTAAGAATCCTGGATGGAGTGCATGGGAAAGCTCTCTGAGGACTCAGAAGAACTGGCTAGCAGGCTGACCAGGAAGCTCTAAAGCACCACTAACTGGCAGTGGGTTTGCTGTTTTTATTTTCTCTGATTTCTCCTGGCCTAGGCTCAGAGACAGTCTGAAACCCAAGACTTGGGTAGATACACTGGGTGCTTATATGAAGAGCTCGAAAAGAAGCCCCATCTCTCTGGTCTGAGGAGCAGAAGTCAGGCGTCTCTACAGTCCAGAAAGTGGGGAGACTTACCCGGTTTTTTTCTTTTTGAATTTTTTCATTCTATCTGAACAAGAAGGAGAAAAAACAGAGAGAAGGGCAGGGAGGGGAGAGAAAAAGAGAGGAAGAGAGAGAGAAAGAGAGGAGAGAAGAGCCTCAGGAATCTGTGGGAAAATAAGAAAAGCCCTCACAGGTCTGTGATTTGAATCCCAGAAAGAGAAGACAAAAATCTTAAATCAATTTTGGGTAAGAGCAGTTACAGAAATAAAGCAGAACAAAGAGAAGTTTGGCCTGCTACCAGGAAAAAAAAATTTTATTTTGCAAAACACCTTATTTGTACACTTTGATTTCTCTATATTGAGATCTTTGTTCTATTTCTTTTTAGCTGTAGTGTCTCCTCGGGTAATTTCCTCAGAAAGTATACAATGCCAGGAGAAGAAATGTCCCTTTTGCACTTAATATGAATGATATCTTAGCCAGGCACCAGAATATTGGCTCACTGTTTTTTTTCTCTGTACTGTGTAAACATTGTTCCATTTTCCAAGTTTTACAGCTAAGTTCCATGCCAGTCTGAGTGTTTATTCTTTATAATATAAACTGATCTCCCTGTCTTGACGCTTTCCTGTATTTTGGGATCCAGACAATTCATCTACATATGACTGTCTTAGTTTTTGCCTTTTTTTAATCTTGGTAAGCCATTTCAATCTGAAAACTCAGGTCTTCTGATCAGGTAAGTTTATTTTCAATTTTACATTTTTATAATTCTATTTCCAGTCCCATAATTACATTTTCATATTCCAGAAAAGAGACTATTATTCACATTTTTCTCTGATCTCTCCTCCATTATCTCTTACCTTTCAGTTTTATTTTCTATTTTCTTTTTTGTTTTTAAATTCTTCCTGATTCCTGTTTGGGGTTTTCAGCACTGTCCGTTTTACAGTTTATTGATTTTTTTCACATTTTATGTATAATGGTTTTTGTCCTTTGAAACTTATGTTTTCCAAATACTTCTTT